TTTAAAACCGCTGATTTAAACATTTTGTGTATACATAGGACTACAGTAAAAAACCTAATCATCATCATCATCAAAAAAAAAACAAAAAAACATTAGGCTTTTTTTTTTATAGTTCGCCCAATCATTTACTCACGCTGGTGTTGTTTCAAACCTGTATGACTTGAAGAATGATGGGGTCCAAATAACAATAGACCACATTTACTAATTTCTCAAAATATATGGGTGTTTCATGGGAGAAACATCAGAAATATGTGAGGGTGAGTAAATAACAATTGTCATTTTTGGATGAATTGTAATAATAAAAAAAAAAAACATTTTTATTAACAGACACACAAAACAATAAAACATGCAACAATGAATTGCTTTTGCCACCATTTCTTAAATGGCAACTTTATTCAAACCTAATACAAATTTTGGTAGTTGATATTTTTCAGACATTGCAATAATTGATTACATAATATGGTAACAAAAAAACCCCGCATCTTAAAATAATGGCAAAAGCATTTACTTCTTTCTAAATACATTGAAAGAAAATAGTAAAATAAATTAAACTAAACTAAACTAAATCAAATCTAACTACATAGTCACTGCAGAATACAATATCTGTTACAAGCATCTTTATGATCCAAAGAGAGCAGAGGCAGTTTTCAGGAGTTCATGCATATGTACATATTGATAGTCACAATTAGAGCAGAGCACAACTGTGACCAGAGAACTTCCTTGATTCTATTTTAATCCCTATAACAGTTGCTGGGTTAGTGTTTCTCTGCCTTTCCTCTTTTTAAGAAAGAAATGCATAGCAACATATATTTAACATCATTCAGGGATAAAAAAAAAAAAAAAGCAGAATATTTTACACTTTACATTGTAAATAACCTTAGATATAAAATATTGATAGAAAAAAAGTTTGCATAAAGCAGTGATAATATAATACAAGAATATACTAAACTAAATAGAATGTAACTATGACAACATTAGTCAACTATGAGTGAATCAAAACCACACCCTTAACACCAAGACGTAAGTCCAAGGAATGCGGGAGTTTCTCATTTGGCTCAAAGAAGCGGAGGCCTTGAAATGGGAAATTTATTATCGTTCCAGAGACATGGCTTAGAATGCACTTACAATTCCAGAATGAAATACACACACAATACTATAGATATTGAAACATGGAAATATACAAAAAAAAAAAAAATTTTTAATTGAATTTGTTTTACATTTGGATTAAAAAAAAACTGAGTATTTCTGAATCAACACAGTTATTGCACATTTGCACAAACTACAACAAATGACCTAAAATGACATTTTTATGTTTTTCTTTGAATTGTAATTCATAAGCATAAAAGCTTAAAAATGCGCTCAAATTCTTGCAAAAAACTTGATGTATTTAGAATACACCTGAATAGCATTCGGACCAACACGGCTAACACAAACATTTTGTCAAAGCAGCACAAAACGAATCGTTATTGTCTGGAAGTGCAGGAATGTGTTCAAAACTATAAAGCAATCAGCAAGGTATTGCACTGTATACCATTATTTTTCAGATTTCACATTGCTGAAAATAAAAATTACACACTCTGCTCATCATTCAGTAGTTAACAATCTAGAGAATAACTATTCTGACTAGTATTTTTTTAATTTGATTGTTTTATTTCTCAGTAAAAGAGCTTTTCCACAGCCAATTTATGTCATCTAAATTTCATTATGGCACTGTCTATTTACACTGAGTGCAAACACAAAAACTATTGTTACCAACTCAACCCACCAATGCCTAATTAACTTTATAACAAACAGCATATTAATACTAATCACACTTTGTGTGATTATCATTATTGCTAGGGATGCACAGATACCACTTTTTCTAGTACTCGCCCGATACCGATACTTTTATTTTTGGTACTTGCCGATACAGAGTACCGATACCAATATTTTCATTGCATTTGTAAATTTTTAAAATATTGGGTACAGAAACCAAAAGAGTATGTATAATGTTAGTTGGTTAACTTAATTTATCAAATAGATACAGTCAAACCAAAATTTATTCAGACACAGTTTATTCGCTATAGTTTAGAAAATGGTAATAAAATATAACAAGAACTCAGAGGGAACCACTCG